AGCCAGAGTGTTCGTATTCATTTTACTGAAAAGCTTTGCGTTCTAGCGTAGGCGGCTCCTGTTTGTAGAATTAGTCTCTCTCTCTCTCTCTCTCTCTCTCTCTATATATATATATATATATATATATATATATATATATATATATATTGAACATTGAGTTTATATGCATATGCATTAAATAATGTTTTTCACATTTACTTATATTTATTTTAAATTTAATTTAATTTTTTTACAATTATTTTTTTTTTTTCGCTAAATAAACCGCATAAATAATATGGACTTCAGCACTATTACTATAGTTCGATATATATATCAAAATTGAAATTAACTAACGATCAGTTTTCAATCTGCAACTAAAGATTGCGTTGTGCATGGAACTCATTGTTTTACTACTGATGAAGGAAAATATTCATTTATCAATATATATATATATATATATATATATATATATATATATATATTACTAATTATCAGACAATACAAGGCCGGAGAGCCACTTAAAGTAGTGGGTTACTGTGTGGAGTTGTATTAGTGTAAGAAACGACAGAAAGTGAAGTTTGGGCTATTGAAGAACGATAACAGCTAATTCGAGATTGCAAAGGTCAAGATTTCATTAGGGAATAAAATTTCACAGTTCAGGCGGAGACGTTAGAAGTATAGAGTTGAAGTAGACTTTGGAATGAACTGGAAACCCAATCCTAAACAGGGAACAAGATATAAACCTCTACTCCTGTTCAAAAGACAGGGAGAATTGTGAACCGGACAATAAGCAGGCCTGTGTACTCCTTTGATGGACTCTCCTGCTGATTTCGACGTATTAGAATCTGACAACCTCATTCAGTTTTTTTTCCGTTCGTGCCGTATGTGACACTTCAGTCCTGCTGATAATTTGCATGTAAGTCTACATAATTGTGCAACAGTGAGAATCTCGGGACATAGCAAAAGGAACATTTGCTGACACTTTTCACCGTTGTCTTTCGTAACTTAGCCAGTCAATACAACTGGTTTAGAAATGTCTGATACCACCCTGGCAGAAATATCTCCATTTATTTCTGTCCAGGGCAACTAGCACAAAGTCAGTATGGCAGCTGAGAGATTACTCTTCAGCTTGTCTTTATAGCTGAGCCACAACCGTTCAACATTCCTTTTCCTACTGACAATCTAGCTATACATGAGGACCTTAGGTATATATATATATATATATATATATATATATATATATATATATATAAATAAGTGTGTGTTTATGTGTGTATTTGTGAGTTTTAATAGATATCAGTACTGCTTCCGCGTTGACAGATATTTTACAGTTAAAAGAAAATAAATTAAAAAAATCGGAAATTATATCTTTGTAAAGATTCCGGCAGTTGGACACTTCAGTTCTGGTAACAAAAAAAAATAAGCTTTCAGTTAAATTAGATTCTAGAATTCAAGGACAGAAAATATTAAGTAATTGCTGTCAATATTTAAATTACAGAACATTGTTCCTCCAGGTATGTCTACATTTCCGATCAAGATATTGTGGTTTTCAATTGTTTTTATTGATTGATTTGTTTCATTTAAGGAATGGTTTCCAAATTCAAAACACAAAATGGCGAGTTGCCTTCCCCATGTTCATTTATTCTAATCACTTTATATTAATAATTCCCTGAAGCATCATTATGTTCTGTATTGCAACAAACTAGTAAACAAAAAGAATAACTCATAGATGTATCTATCTATCTATCGATATATATATGTGTATGCGTGAAATATATATATATATATATATATATATATATATATATATATATATATATATATATATATATATATGCAGTACTTATTAGAAAGCGCGCAATAGCAGTGATAGAACTAACCTATTTAGTTGGATGGATGTGAGTTTGTGACCCTGGGTTTCACACTATTTGCGATCGTCAGACAAACTGATTAATTTTTAAATTTTGGATTTATATATGTTTGCGTATATCGGTGTTTTATGGAAGTGGGAGGAAAAATTGTCGTCGGAACGCCACTCATACGCAAACATACATACACGCACGTACACTCATTGACGTACGCAGACACACACGCACGCTCACTCACTGAAGCTCGCACAAACATAAACATATGTGAACAGTGTGGGACTGAGCATATATGCGCATCCATGTGTCGTTGCGTACATACGTACGCATTTGGTCGCTGTATTCAATGTTGGATTGTGTAGCGAATATTTTTTGTCTGTTGCACAGTCAAAGCGCAGACCGTTTTTCTATTTTGTTCGCTGAATAATGTTTTTTCGCACGCACGTATATACATATGATGGGGTCTGTGTAGGTAAAAATCGCTATTATTTTTAATTTGTTAAGGCTGTTTTGTTATTATTTTAAAGCCAGTTATTTGCTTGTTTTTGGCGATTGCGCATATGTAAATGGTAGAAATTCCAATTTGTAATACTTATTAGTATTTATGCGATGTTGGTTGGTATTTTTTATCTGTTTGGCATAAATTCTGATAATAG